TTTGTAAAACACCACTAAGGAAGCGAGTGAGCTTTAGATCACTTCCCAGTGATCTGTTCACTCTGTCTCTGTTTCTTACTCTAAGCTCCATAGGACTGAGTAGCAAGTGGCAACATGAGAGAAAACATGGTGTGTCTCCTCTGAATCAGGCCATGACACAGGAAGTGAAAAAGAGTAAATAAGAAAACCATAGGACTCCCCGCTCTTAGATTCAGTTGATAGAAGGACCTCTGGCTCCTAGGGGACATGGAACTCCCCATTTATTCCGACTTTGACAAGTAATCAGAAGAGGAAGAGCTTGTCTAGAAATACACAGCTCTATCATATTTGGAAACAAGTTACTTCCAAATTTATAATGTTCTCACCTAAAGTCATAAAATCATATGTTTAGGAAATGTAAATTTAAGAATACCTACTTCCAGTGGTAAACTGAACTAGATGCTATGAAGAGACTTCCTGTTAATACCAAAACTAAGTCATGTATGAAATAACTGATATTGAACCCATGACACTGAAGGAGGAAGAGGAATGTCCACGGGAAACACTGATCTCCAGGTACATACAATACAAATGCTAACCTAAAAGCTTTGAGCAAGAAACACTGAAATTACAAAAAACAAAAAAAGTCTTGTGACAATATCACTAGGTAGAGGTTGTATTGCATTAAGTAAGAACGCCCAAAGGGAACTAAAATGCTCCCAAGTCTGTATTGCCTTGATGATAAAGCAAACACAAATAATCCCTGAAGAAAGGCACTCCTAATTTGGGTCTCCAGATTAAAATCAATCAAATATAAACTCTCAGCCAAGGAAAAGCACTACACACATACAAAAAATAAACCATTGAGATGAATCAGTAGAAACAATATATGGTAATATTAGACCGTTATGAAGTTTAAATATCAGTTATCAGAAAGAGAATGTAAAATATCTATACGTGAAATGATTAAAAAAACAGAATAAGTAATTTCAAAATATGGACAAGTAAAATAATATATCAAGAATGACAAGGAAGATGGGGAGAAGTTCTAAAAATGAAAGATAATATTGAAAAAAATGAATGGGTTACAGGTGAAGAGAATTAATACACTGGAATACAGATCTTGATTATGTATCCAGAATGCAGCCAGAAAGACAGGAAGATAGCAAATACAAAAAAGAGATTGAAAGATATAGAAGAGAGAATGCTAAGTTCTAAAACATACCTACTTAGGGCTCCAAAAAGGTGAGAAGAAAAAAGGAAGAAAAACAACACTTATAAAGACATTGGCTGATAAATTTCCAAAACAATAAACAACATAAATTTACAGACAGAGGACGCACAATATATTTGGTTGAGCCACAGGACAATGTTGGACTAAAATGGTTGAATAATGCTAATTTTATATGGTTTGACCTACACTAAGCAAGATAAATCTAAAGAAATCAACACCTAAGATTTACTGTAGGAAAAATACAGAACACAAAAGACAAACTATATTAAAAATGTGAGAGAAAAAAGATAACTTTGTAACTTTTCATAATAAAGAAATGACAAAGTAGGCTGACATTGAACTTTTCAGCAGCAAAAATGGAACACAAATGACAATGGAATAAAATTTTAAAGTACTGAAAAGAAAAAAATTGTCAGCCTAGTATTGTTTACTCAGTAAACTTCCACTCAAGACAAAAAAGAAGAAAAAGTTATTATCAGATACATGCAATTAGGAAGCATTTGCCACCAATAGTTGTAAACTAGAGGAACTATTCTTAAATGCTTATATTAGAAAATTTTTTAAAGATGCATATTTAATTCATGAAGTTTCAGCCTAATAATTGGCAAGGGTGGGGGAGGGGAGAGATGATCTAAATAAAATCCAAAGAAAGCAAAATAAAGGTGATAATAAAGAGCAGAAAATAATGCTTGAGAGAAGCAGAGAAAAAAAAGGGGCCCTTCTGTTGTGTGGTAAGCACCAACTCAGCCATCAGGGTGCAGAGTACCAAGCAGGCTCTCGGGGACCCCAAGTCAAGGCCTAGGCTCTTAGACAGCCTTTCTAGACCTAGCCTCGGTCAGAGGGGATCACACTGCCATGAAGGGTAAAGCCTAGGCCTGGAAGCATTCAACACAAGCTTACTTAAGAGCACTTGGGATTTAAGTGAACATCAGGGGTGGCCTGGCAGAACTCCCAATGGGACAGTGGCTGTGGTGGCCACTGGGAAAGGCTGAGAGAAGTAAAATTATCCTTGTTTGCAGATGATATAATTTTATAGTTGGAGAAGCCTAAAGCCTCCATCAAAAACTATTAGACAGACAAATTCACTAAAGTTGCAGGATATAAAATCAATATAAAAAAAAGTAGCATTTCTATATGTCAACACTGAAAAATCTGAAAAAGAAATTTTAAAAAGTAATCTCAATTAGAATACCCATGAATGCAATTAAGGAATTAATCAAAGAACTGAAAGATTGCTACAATGAAATCTATAAAATGCTGATGAAAGATATTGAAGAGGACACAAAGAAATGGAAAACCATTCCATGTTCATGTACTGGAAGAATCAATACTGTTAAGATGTCCATATTACACAAAGCAATCTACAGATTTAATGCCATCTGTATCAAAATACCAATGGCATTCTTCAGAGAAATAAAAAATCCTAAATGTATATGGAACCACAAAAGACCCAGAATAGCCAAAGCTATCCTGAGCTAAAAGAACAACACTGGAGGAATCACATTACCTTACTTCAAAACAGTCACCAAAACAGCATGGTACTGTAATAGAAACAGACACATAAACCAAAGGAACAGAATAGAGAACCCAGAAACAAATCCACACACCTATAATGAACCCATTTTTGACGAAGATGCCAAGAATATACACTGGGTAAAAGACAGTCTTGTCAATAAAGGGTGTTGGGATAACTGGATATCCACATGCAGAAAAATGAAACTAGACCCCATCTTTCACTGTATATAAAAAGCAAATCCAAATGGAGTAAAGAGTTATATCTAACGCCTCAAACTATGGATCTACTACAAGAAAACATTGGAGAAAACCTCTAGGACACTGGTCTGGGCAAAGATTTCTTGAACAATGCCCCACAAGCACAGGCAACTAAAGCAAAAATGGACAAATGGAATCATATGAAGTTAAAAACCTCTGCACAAGAAACCATAAACTGAAAAGACAAACCACAGAATGAAAGAAAATATTTGCAAACTATTCATCCTACAAGGAATTAATGACCAGAATATGTAAGTAGCTCAAACAACTTTACAAGGAAAAAATCTAATGATGTGACTAAATAATGGGGAAAATATCTGAACAGACATTTCTCAAAGGGAAACAAACAAATGGCAAAGAGACATATAAAAAGGTGCTCAACATCACTGATGATCAGATAAATGCACATCAAAACTACAGTGAAATACCATATTGCCCCAGTTAAAATAACTTTTATTCAAAAGAAAGGCACTAGCAAATGCTGGCAAGGATATGGAGAAAAGGGAACCCTCAAACACTGTGGGTGGGAGTATAAATTAGTACAAACACTATGGAGAACAGTTTAGAAGTTCCTCAGAAAACTAAAAATAATGCTATCGTATGATCCAGCAATCCCACTGCCAGGTATATACCCAAAAGAAAGGAAATCGGTGTATCAAAGGGATATCTGCATATCACATTTGTTGCAGCACTGTTCACAATAGCCAAGATTTGGAAGCAACCTAAGTGTCTAGCAACAGATAAATGGATAAAGAAAATGTAGTACAGTTATACTATGGAGTACTATTCAGCCATAAAAAGAATGAGATCCTGATATCTGCAACAACATGGATGAAAATGGAGGTCAAAGTGAAATAAGCCAGGCACAGAAAGATAAACAATGCATACCCTCACTTATTTGTGGGAGCTAAAAGTTAAAACAATTAAAAATATGGAGACAGAGAGAAGCATGGTTATCAGAGCCTAGGGAGGGTTTTGAGGGGGTAGCAGATAAGTGGGAATAATTAATAGGTACAAAACATACTTAGAAAGAATGAACAGAATATTATTTGATATCACAACAGGGTGACTACAGTCAATAATGATTTAATTCTACATGTTAAAAAAAGTATAATTGGATTTTTTCAACACAAAGGATAAATGCTTGAGGGGATGGACACTCCATTTACCATGACGGATTGCACTTGGCATACCTGTATTAAAGTATGTCATGTACCCCACAAATATATATGCCTATTATGCACCCCCACACACACAAAAGATTTTTTAGTGTGTAAAACAAACAAGAAAAAGACACAAAGAAGTATTCCCTGAAGATAAAACATGAATGGCCAGTAAACAAATGAGAAGAGGTTCAACTTCATAGGTAATTAGGGAAATGAAAAATCAAAATCCAATGCAATGATAATTTATGTGAGTTAGATTGACAAAAAATTTTTAAATGTTGGCAAACATGTAAAGTTTTGGGTATTCTTATGTACTGCTAAAAGGTTATAATTGGTATAGCCCTGTAAGAAATAACTGGACACTATGTTGTAAAGTGTTAACATTCATGTATCTCATGACTCGGGAATTCCAATGCTAGATATGTTTTCGAGAGAATTTCTTGAACATATATAACTTGAAACATACACAAGTGTGTTAATTGCAAAAAACTGGAAACATCCTGTGTTCATCAACAGAAAAATGAAAAAGCAGATTGTGGTGTAGTCACAATAAACTACTATATATAGCAATAAAAATTAACTAAAATGACTCAATGACAATACTTTCCATCATGCTATGGAGTGGAAAAAGGAATTTATAGCATTTTTATAAAGCTCAAAACCAGGCCACACTGAATATATCACTTAGTTGTGTAGACAGGCAGGAAATAGATTATTTTAAAAAATAGAACAAAGTATGTGTTTGCATACACTAAATCTTGAATAAATGTCATTTTTGCCTTCCTAATTTTCATCTGTTATTCAGGTAACACCTTTAGAAGGGACAAGAAAACCAATGGCAAACTTACCTGCAGAAACACTGGGGGAGTTCTCCTTGTCCATATAAAGGAAACAAAAATGGAGTGTTGCCATACCGCCCAAGACAGTGAAGAAAGTTTTTGGTAGCTTTGAGACCATCTATGGTACTGCTGGCTGTCTGTGATGTCATTGCAATTGAATGCAGGACAATATATTGAAGGTTGGGGGTTAATTTTTGAGTTTTTAAATATTCACAAAATGTAATCTCTTCATAGCCTATGAAAAGATGAAATTTTATCACTTACAATCAAAACTAAACTTCTATTTAAAACCACCCCGCAAAAAGGAGATAAAGTGTGTTTCAAAGTCTTCACAAAGGCTGCTGGTTGGTATTACTATATTTTGGACAGTGAAGGTTGATCTTAGAAAAAAGTGAAAACAATCTTGCTCTCCTATTTGGAGTAATGGCACATTTTTAAGCTTTAAATAATGAATTTTGATTGAACATTTTGCGGATTTAAAAAAATAATTAGAAAATAATTAAATAATTGAATGGGTTACCATAGTTTGCAATTACCTCACTTTATTGTCATGAAACCCGCAGGATAATGCCAATAATGGTGCTTGAAAATATTAAAACACTATGACAACATGGGAATGCAGGGATTTAAAATAATAAATATGTGAGTTTTGCAAAATGTATACTTCTCACTAATACTCAGAAAATAAACGAAAAAATAATAAAATGAATTTCTGTGTGGCTACTGTAATCAATCTTATGGCCATATAATCACATCAAAACATATGTGACCCCAAACAGCTACTCCTTTAAACCAAGAACAGAAAACTACATTGAACTGTTAGTGGCGGGAAATACAATTCCATGATAAAAGACAAAAACTTTATGGAAAGAATTTACACAAATAAAAATTATAAATATTTACTGAGAGAATTTAAGTTTATACAGCCACTATGGATAACAACATGACAGAATCTAGTAGACTTGAAGGGTTAAGAGCAAGGATTAGAATTTTATTATTTCACAGAGGAAAAAAAAACTACTGCTGAACTTCTCATTATAACTTTAAATTATCAATAGCATATTTCAATTTTGGATAACACCTTCAGACCAAAGGACTTAAAAGTATACAGCTCTGATACCAAAAATGGCATAATCAATTTTTAATAGACTGTGAAGTAACTGTCCCCAGATCACATAATGAAATAGATCAAAGCCAAGAACAGAAACCATGTCTTTTCTGAATCTACTATTTTCCCCCCATATACCATCTAGCTTTTCATTTTCAAACAAAATAGTTCAAGATTCTAGATAAATCCTGGAAAATGAAAAAATATATAGTATTTCCATTTATGAGAACAAATAATGGATTCATGAAAAGGGATTATCATCTATGAAGAGTCAGTTGACAGTAGTATTTAAATAAGAATAAAAATTAAAATCTAGCATGCCACTTCGGCAATAATGAAAATATTTGCACTGGCTATGGAGCCCTTGAAATATGGCTAATGAGACTGAGAAACTGAATGTTTTTATTTTATTTCATTTTAATTAAATTTAAATAGCAACACATTACTAATGGCAAACCTATTGAATAGTGCAGTTAAAATGCATTTTAAAACAGTAATAAGTGGCTCACTTATTATGCTTTAAGAAGTTTAATGCTTTAATATGCTCACAAGGCAAGCATATTAAAATAGTAAGAAATGTCAAATAATTGGAGAACACAACTTAATGAAAAAATACCTTTATATTCATCAGGAAATTTCTCATATTCCATACAAAATGTAAGAAATTTCATCAGCATTCGCTTTTCTACCATAGAAAGTTGTTTGCTATTAAAGACATCTGCTCTGGAACAAGGTACCTGAAAAATATTATAATTTTAAGTTAAAAAACTGCTTCCCAATTATACGAGTATTCCAAATTTTACTTTTTTCCCTTTATATATAACAGGATTATCATTTCCATTGTAGCCAGGCTTTTTTACATCACCTTTCATCAGTACTAATGGCATCTCTGCTAACTTCAGAGCTAATTGTGAGCTTTCTTACTTAATTCTGCCAAGTTACTCCTCATGCCATTAAAAGGCCAACGGCATGTCACCCTAACACAGAACAAATTAAGCAGTGCTATCTAAAACAAATACTGTGGTTCTCCCAACATACATGTTAGCACATTTTTATGCCTTTTCTCCAATTAATCTGCCTTTTGTGAGTTCATTTTTTGGTGAAACTTCAGAGGGTTAAGAGGGAGTGTTTTCCTTGGTCCCTACAGTTTTGGTGCCATAAGCAGGATAGCAAAGCTGTGTTCTTCTGGAAACTGCAGTGAAGAACCCAGGATCTGATCAGCTGTCATAATGGTCAGAATTTTTTACCAGCAAGGCTCCAGGCCTCCTTCTGTCTGTGGAATCTGATCAAGTGGACAGCTAAAAAAAAAAAAAAAAAATCACTGTTTCTTTCTTTTCTCTCTCCAAAATCTTGATTAATGGGAGAAAAGGATTTGTGTGACTAGCCTTGGGTGTAGTGCCCCTGGTGTGCTTTTTGGTATTTTGTGCACTTTTTGGTACCAACACTAAGCTGCAGAATAAGTCATAAGAAAATTAGCACTAGAAATTTTAATTAAGCATTTACATTTGTAAATCACCATACAGGACTGGAATGTACTGCTTTATGAGGAAAATAACAATCTTACTTGCTTATCTTTCCAAACAAACAATAATAACTTAAACTGATGCCCAGTTACAATTCTTGATCATCACAGTACCTGTTCCACTCTTCCATCTCGAAATGCAAGAATCCTGGTAATATTTTTAAACTCTGCATATCGACTAACATTAGATTTGATTAGAAGATCAATTAGCAATCCTCGAGAATATAGCAGCTGTACAAAGAAAATATTTTAGAAGACAGAAGTTGAAATAGTGGAAAAATTGGGAAACAATAAAGATACATAACTTTGTTATATTTTTGATTATTTGTAGGAAGTATCATACTTATAAATATTATAATATATAACACAATCTATTACAGGTTTATAATTGATTAGTTGAAATTCACAATCCAAAAAACTGCAATCCATAAGTTTTTTCATAACTTGTTTAGTAGCAAAACATGATCCAAACTGATAAGGCACTTCTGGCTTTGTTTGTCCAAATTAATGTAAATATTCATACATTTCACTGCAGAAATAATGTGTTTAGAGTGCCTCCTCAGACCCTGCTAATAATTTAACCTAACATATAACATATCAGCATATGTACTTCATTACTTCATAAAATATTTTTTTTATCTTAACGACAGAACACACCAGGCCCTGAGGGTTTTGGATAAGGGACTATAGTCTTACATAAAGCCAGGTAGTTATAAGAAGAAATCAGCCCAGTGAACCTCCCTGCCACATTAAAAAAGGAAAAAAATATTTGTGATGCATTTACACTGAAAGAGTCAAATTATAAGGTCCCTCTGTAATTCTAGAAATCTGGGTTTATATGAGATAAGTTGTTCTCAAAAATAGATGATGGTTATTGCTGGCAAGTACGTGAGAAATTCACTTAATCTTTCAACATCTCATAAGTATTATCAGAGATATAAAAGCAATAATATAAGTATTATCTAGCATGTTAACCGTACGGTTAAATGCAACAGATCTGATTTTTTTCCTACATTAAGATACTCTTAAATAACGTCTGTAACTCAATAAATATTTAAAACAAATGTTACAGTTATAATAAATAAATGGGAAAAAGAAAATTAGCTTTACTGGACAAAGAAAAAGGAATCTCAAAAATCAATCTAAACCATGAATCTGAGCATCTAATAAGTTAGTAAAGATTATCAGTAAATCAATACCATTGAAGTAAAATTTTATAAACTAATAGTTCAGCATTCTGTAAAACCAAATTGACATCACTTTTTTAAAACTAATCTCATTATCCTGATTAAATATGGCATATTACTTCATTACCATCTTCCTAACACACTACATAACTGATACAGCCCATGCCAATTCTTAACTCTATAATAATGATAAAAAAGTTGTTACTTCAAAAAACTCATATTTTAAAAAGATACACATTTGAGATTGAGGGATCCCTGAATAGCCATAACAATTTCACAAACATTAAGATATAAAACAAAACAATGCATTTTTATTGAATAAGATCCAATAAAGCTTAAGGTTTAATGTCAGTTTGAAAAATAATGCATTTAAGATATCCCAGAAAAACGAAAACAAATTTCAATTAAAATTATACTAGATTTTTGTTTCTGATGCTCTGAAATAATAAACGTATACCATATTAAAATCTAAGCCTCTTTTTCTTTTCTTTTTTTTTTTCTTTTTTTTTTTTTTTTTTTTGAGGCAGAATCTCACTCTGTTGCCCAGGCTGGAGTACACTGGCTTTATCTCAGCTCACCGCAACCTTGGTCTCCCAGGTTCAAGCCATTCTTCTGCTTCAGCCCCCCGAGTATCTGGGATTACAGGCATGTACTACCACACCCAGTTAATTTTTGGTATTTAGTAGAGACGGGTTTCACCATGTTGGTCAGGCTGGTCTCAAACTCCTGACTTTAGGGGATCTGCCCACCTCAGCTTCCCAAAGTGCTGGGATTACAGGCGTGAGCCACAGCGCCCAGCCTAAGCCTTTTCCTTAACCACACTCTAAGCAATCTACCACAGCAATTCTAAGTGATCTACCACAGTGATGAGGGGCTAAAGAGCAGTGCAATTTGATTACAATAATGAAAATTAGATTTAATAATTACCAACTTTTCCTTCACTTAGCATGTTGATTCCATAATTATAAAGAGTATGGACTTACTTAGAAATGAACTTTCATTTTAAGAATTTCATCTTTGATCTTCTCTATTAGTCTGAGCAGTATGAAACTATACATATTTAACTAACCTACCCTGAACTATTACTTTTTAAAAGGCTATATACATGAATGTGTATTGTAAACTGTAAAGCCCCACAGTATGTGTTAATTATATCACGATGTCTTTGAGGTCGAATGCATATAGAAATGTCAAGTAGTTTAGAGATACTGAGTTAGACTTTAGAAAAGAGATAGGGATTTGGCCAGGCGCAGTGGATCACGCCTGTAATCCCAGGACTTTGGGAGGCCGAGGAGGGTGGATCACGAGGTCAGGAGATCGAGACCATCCTCACCAACTCGGTGAAACCCTATCTCTAATAAAAATACAAAAATTAGCCAGGCATGGTGGCATGCGCCTAAGTCCCAGCTACTCAGTAGGCTGAGGCAGGAGAATGGCTTGAACCCATGAGGCGGAAGTTGCAGTGAACCAAGATCAAGCCACTGCACTCCAGCCTGGCAACAGAGGGAGACTCCATCTCAAAAAAAGAAAAAAAAAGAGGTAGGGCTTTAAGATAGATATTTGGCAATCATCCTAAACTTAGATGTTATTAACTGCAATTATCAGAACAGATGAATTTCTAAGGAGTGACCAATTGCCCAATAGCATGGAATACATGCTTTCCATTTAGTATGCATTGAATATGTATTAAATGACTTACATTTTAAAAACTGACAATAAATCTCCTATATTACTATGGTTATATGTGATTTAGATAATTCTGGTTTTGAAAATGAGTACAATAAATGATTATTAGTTATTTTTGTAGAATCTATTAAAAAAAAATGAAAAGTCTGCAGGACAGTCCCAACTGCCTAGTCCACTGCCTCTAGACATGTTTGGTTTTTACTTAACAGTAAGAGAACTGGTTACTAATAGCCATTCAAACTCATGAAAATACCCGGAAGTCTCCTTTAGAGTATCTTGAAACGTGTCAACTTCTAATTCACCTGTATTTTTCCGCCCACAACCAGCATTCATTTTCTTATAAAACTAAATAATTTCCTACACCAATTCCTACAATTAAAACAGTACCATTTTCTACCACTTCCCCTTGCAAGACACATACTAAATTTCAGCTAACATAAAGGTTACAGACTTTTATGAAATAGCCTTGATTCTTAACCACATTTATATCATCATTTATTTAAGGCAAAGCATTCCAAATTCCAAGTAACTGCTTCAAAATGGAATTTTCAGACAAAGCCCATTTGTTATTTGACTTCTTCAGTTTTTACGTTTTGTTTAACCTTTTTCACAGAGTATTATTCATGGGACCAGGAAGGTCATTAAAGAGCTAGGATTAAACTTCCATCCACAGATGAACAGCCAAGGTAATGTGGAAAAAATCCTAGAGTCCAAATCATGACAGGGTCAAAGCAAATGCAGAAGGTGGGAGAAATAGTGAAAGTATGAAGTAGAACCAATGCCATAGCCAATAATGCAAAATCAGACACAGAGTGCTACATGACAGACAGAAAAATGGGTAGTAAAAAAAATGGAGCAAGAGTATGAGGATATGGGATTTGCAGAAACAACTTGTGGAGGGGAATGTATTGGTCCCTCTCTGTCCCCCTGGAACTTGAAGAAAGTACATTAAATTGAAAAGCCTAGTTCTGTGCTAGTTCTGTGGTAAGTCTGATGTTATTTACTATCCTCTCCTACTTATTTTCAATTCCTTATTGTTTGTTCTCAACTTACAGGATTTAGTCTCTGATTTTCTCTACTGTTGCCCTTTCCTGTATTGTAACCCTTTAAGGCCACAATCCTTTATCTTACTGGTTTTCTATCCTTTTGCACTAAAATAGCCTTGCTTCCTATAAACCCAATGCAATGCTGTACCCTTCTAAGACCAAGGGACCTCCTGTGAAGTTACAGTGTTCAAGTTAGTTATGTTCAGGAACGTAACTCAAGACAATAGCTTTCTTCCCAGCCTTCCTGCCTCCATCACTATTAAATTTTCCTCTGAAACTTTCAAACCTGAACAAATGATTTTTTTGACTTTTTTTTATATTATACTTTAAATTCTGGGATACAGGTGCAGAACATCCAGGTTTCTTACATAGGTATACATATGCTATAGTGGTTTGTTGTACCCATGAACCCAACATCCACATTAGGTATTTCTCCTAATGCTGTACTATCCCTCCTCTAGACCCCCAACCTCCGACAGGCTTCGGTGCGTGATGTTCCTCTTCCTGTGTCCATGTGAACACATGATTTTTAAAAATGCATTGGTTTATTCAGAGTATTCATCATAGTATAGTTGTGAAAATAGTTACTATACATAAAGTCTAAAATAATTGATGGAAATTGACGGTAAATAATTTCTAAATAGGTCCATTCGAATTTTTTTCGACAGAATTCAGTGTCCACGCGTTAAGAGAATATTAGGTTGTACTATGTGCTCAAGTACAAAAGTATTCTTCAAGTATAGATTAAAAACATATTTAAAGCATTTTAATGTGAGCACCTTAAATGTGTTTTTAATCTGCACTTAAGGAATATTTTAAATGAATTACAAACTTCTGGCTGCTATCTATTTACAAAACAAATGTTCTGCATCTCAGAGAATTACAAAAATTGGGTTTATGGGCTCAGATACCGTTTTCAATGCAAAGATGGATAAAATTGGTACTTACCTTTGATACTAAATCAATATTAAATCTTCTGCCTTCTTTAATAATTTGCGAGTAAGTAATTTTATTTTTCTTTGGTTGCTCTGTGGTATCTTCTGCTATAGGCACATTGTCACTCATTTCCTCTGCTGAAGTTGATGGCACACAAGTTTTATCATCAGAATGGTTTTCTTTTTCCCCTGTCACTTCAGCACCATTTACTTCTAGCGCACTCTCTGGATCACTGCTTGGAGTTTGTTCTATGAGCATTTCACAGCTCACAGTGCTTAATGACTCATCCTCCGTAGGCAGGCAGGCAGAATCTGCAGCTTCTGTGGAGTTTGTAGATGTCACAAGAGCATGATTTTTCTGCAGTGCACCAGCTTCTTCGACATCTTCATGCAAATCCTGACTAATAAGAAATTATAATAACAATCAACATCAGACTTTTGAAAATTCTACCCTGCTACATTTTTACATTGCTTCAACTTTTCACAGCAACTTTTATTCCTTTAACCCTTTTATCAAGTTCGGTATATGTTTTGGTTATGTGACTCAGACATTGAACATTCATCTGTTAATGTTTCAGTAAAATATGAAACACAATTAAGATCTGAAAAATATAAAGATTTCATGTCACATGCACATTTTTAAGAATTTAAGGCATTTTTTTTAATTGTACTTTAGGTTCTGGGGTACATGTGCAGATCATGTAGGATTGTTGCGTAGGTACATACACGGCAAGATGGTTTACTGCCTTCATCGTCCCATCACCTGTATCTGGCATTTCTCCCTTCGTTATCCTTCCTCACCCTCCCCACCCCCGCTGTCCCTCCCCTAGCCCCCTACAACTGACTGCAGTGTGTGATGCTCCCCTCCCTGTGTCCACATGTTCGAATTGTTCAACACCAGCCTATAAGTGATAACATGTGGTATTTGGTTTTCTGGAAGAACACAGTCTTAAGAATAACAGATCTTGGTTCAAACCCTGACCATATGACTAGTAAGCTCTGTGAACTTAGACAAGTTATTTATCCTCTTTGAGACCACCTAAATTACCTGTCTATGACACAGACATAATATCACCTATCTTACAAGGTCGTTTTGAAGATTAAATTAAGTACTGCATGCAAAAGAGCCTGACAACAGTGCCTGGGACATAGTACATGCTCAACAGTGGTAGTTACCAAAGATGATTATTATTGAGGAATTCCTGACTTGGTGATATGACAGAAGACGTTCAATAAAGGGGAAAAATCTGCCATGAAAATATTAAGTTGGTCTTTCACAATGTGGTATCTAATAGGACCTTTCTGTATAATTTCCTGCCTGTTTTAGTACTGATGTCGATTACTCCAGTGGAAGCCCCATTTCCAAATTTATTATTAGAGTTAACATCCTTAGTTCACCATTGCCTTGATTTATAGAACAGGCTCCCATTCAGTCTGCCTGCTTTATGAATATCTCTATATGTTATCCTCTACAGAACCCATTATTTTCACTGAGTTGGCACACTGCTCAATACCTGGCACAATGCCTTGTAGGTGATAGGTCTTGGCAAGTAAAAATTGGCTAGCTGACTGCTCAAGAACTAACAGTAGCCCTTCCTCATATCAAATCTAAAATCTACCTCACAAAAAAATCTTCCTCTTCCTCAAACAGCCTTCCTTATTTACTAACCTTCTGGTTTAATCTCTACCTACTTTCCACCAGAGCATCTCTAATTCCGAATTTATCAATTCTAATTGCCAAATTGTTGCAGTTTGTTTGGTTCATATCATTTGTTTCTTTCGTGCTTTTCTTCTCACACTGCATAATATCATAATTCTTCCATTCTCAAACATAATCACATACGTTAATAAACTACTTTAAGAAAAAGTTTAAATTTCACTTCCAAGAAATCTTCCTTAACCCAGTGACACTCATCACTCTATTATACCATGCTCCCACAATACACACATGCAGTTTACCTTGCATGTATTTATCCATTCCTTTTTAATAGTCCTTTGGTTTTCCAGTGTATGCTTTATCTTCCGAGTCAGACTGTAATTCCTTGAGGGAATACATTAACCCCCTCCTTGTGTGCCTTTTACAATACCTACCACACTGCTCTATAGATGTGGTATCTGATAAATGCTTGATGAATAATGGTTTATACATGCAAAGGATATTTTTGTTTCAGACATGAAACAAACTTATTGCAAAAAACACAAAAAGTAAGGTCAAGAATAAAACACTGTATTGTAAATCAGAAAGTCTGGGTTCAGTGAAAAAAATAAGTGCCTCATTAAAAATAACACAACGAACACTACAAAGACAATGAAAGAATAAATTAACACTCATATGTCAAGAAATAAAATGCCACATTTACTGTTATAGTAATTCTAATAAAATCTAATAAAAAAATTGATATCATTAATGTTAACACAAATACTTTGGAGATCTAGGAAACTAAAGTGGGGAGAATACCCACATTATTCCCTAAATTTATCACTTAGGAAATACTTGGCAAGTAATTTAATCTCTGATTCACCACCTATAAAATGGAGATAATACACCTGCCTTACCTTTTATGAAACTGTGGTGAGGTAAGTACACTAACAATGAAAAGTAGTTTATAAACTCTAAAAGGTTAATCAAATATGAGATACTAATCAAAAATAAGACAGTGTTAAACTAACACAGCTCAACAGTCTACTCAAAACCTGTATAACAAGGTTTTCTGCATTCACATGATGAAAGCTCTTTGGCCACATAAACACATGATAGCATGGCCATTAACAGCATTAAGAATGAAGAATGATAATATGAAAGGTGATTCATATATTTTCTACAGAATTGTTCACACTCTGTATTTACTTTTATTATTTTGAAAACCAACAATACTAAAGTATGTTCCATGAGGGATCTAAGGTGACAATTTTCAGCAGAAGTTCCATGCCTAAATTTTTTTTCCTGGCAAAAGTTCCATGCCTAACTCCTAAAGCAAAAGCTCCTTGTCTTTAATTTTAAGCAATGACAGGATAAGTAATTATACTTTACAACAGAATATGGCAACTTCTCTTATTACAGACTATGATGATGACACTGTGGAAACTGAACATAGCCAATGATCTAGTCAGTGGCTCTCTATTACATTCTATGATAGGGAACCTTAGAGAGTGAATGAAATATATTAACTAGTACTGGATAACCTGGAAGATATAAGTCAAAATACTTAACTAAAGGTATAAGCAAAGAAAAAAATTATTCTTTGAAAATTCTTCTATATCAATAACTATCATTTTACTGTGCTCCACATTATAATTTGGTGAGATTCCTAGCACTACAAAAAATGCAAGCAATAAAAACACAATATTGTCCTCATTTCCAATTTAAAATAACCACAGTATTTTTGGAGTCCTGACAAGGTGGAAGTTAATACCTAATGAGAAAATATAAAGATAGCCAAAAGCTCCTAAAACTCCATTTATGTCCTCAGTAAGCAAAATTCTGTTGATCTAAAAGGGCTATCTTCCCCAGATTTAAAACTTTTTAATGTGGTAAAAGACATTTTCTCAAAAAGATATTCAACCTTTCAGAGAAAACCTCAGAATACAGTAATATTTCAATTCTATTAATTTAAAAGTGTTTGAAAACTATAAAAACATATTTACCAATTACAAAATAATATAGATGCATTATAAGCCCTCAAATCTACGTTGGTGTTCTAAGATACTACAATGACTTTAACATACACAGATGCTCCTTGACTTGTGACGGGATTATATCCTGATAAACCCAATATAGTAAGACAAAATGCATTTAATATCCCAATAAAACCATCACAAAGTCAAAAAATCATAAGTCAAACCATCATATGTTGCAGACTGTTGATAAAGGAAAACAATCTGCATCATGAGGTTTTATAAAAATTTTCACTATCAAAATTGATTTCACAAATTAAATCGTGTCATTTACATTGCTAGCTTTAATTCCAAAGGTCATTTATAACAATAATTTTTAGATAATTTTTCTTCACAAAAACTGCTGAACACTGCTTTTTGTGAGTGTATTTTTCACTAATTCCCACAATTCATATATTACTCTGAGAATTTGGAGGGATAAATTCTGATATCATCTAGTACCGCTTATCAATTAATAGTTAAAACAAAGAAACACCTTGAAGTGAATGTCTTATGAATACCTCGTAACAGCCTTTTAGACGAGTCAAATGAAAAACTGAGAACCAGGTGTTTAATTTATTCAGCACAGGTGTTCACCATTTATTTTTCAGCCATTTGCACCTTTCCTTTCCCAATTGACTTGCTGCAGATATTGTATTCTTTGATGTTTATACTTTGTTCTAAGGCTATTTATTTCTGATTTTCACAGTATATATTTTACTGCTACTCAGCTGTTTATTCCTAAAATAAATGTTTAATGGCTATAAAAGAATTACAAAAATCAGACTATTCAAAAACTGTTGTTCTAGACAACGCAACACAAAAGGTGAAATTAAGTTTGAATTGCTGCAATATGATACACTGGTAGATATTTATGTCCCTGTTTGTTATCAACCGAAAACGTTAACACATACTGTAGAATACAGATGAAATACCAACCTCTTGTCATGTTTACCCAAGAACAAAACTTCATAAAATGATGTGTAGCAGGTACTGTTGGGTGCTTACTCAACAACAATTACCACTTTTCTCCTTGCTTCGAGAGCCCCAATTTTGTTCCAATATTAGACAGAAGTTGCTGAGTCCTTGGGGATGGATCATGACAGATTAAAACCAATTATGACAATTGTACTTCCCTTTGCTGGTGATTGATTTAGGAGTGAGCACATTACCAAGTTTTAGCCAATAAGATACTGAAGAGTCTGCTGGGGGCCTTTACTGATTACTTTCCAGTATATTAGAAAAGCATAAATATGTTAGGAAAACCGCTTCCCTCTTTTTCTCATGTTTAGAGATTTTTTTTTATGTGAGATCCTCTTTGAAATCCTGGCAAACATCTTGTAACTCTGAATGGAAAGCTAAGAGAAGTGTAGAGTAGCTGCCCCAATGCTCTGATTGGCTGAAGCAGTACAATTACAAATCCTCTACCTACTCTTCCACCCACTTACCACTGTACTTGTTTAAACCACATTTAGTTGGGCACCGTGTCACTTCTGGCCTAAAACACACTTAACTGTAGACAGTGATGAGTAATTTCCTCCAAATTGTAAAAATTACAAGTGATTTGACATTTTATTTTTATTCCTTCCTTCTAATTGGTATTATTGCTCAACAAGCTCCTATTGCTTGTATAATTTTTAAGTTAAAATTTAAGAATTCAAAATAAATCAGTAGAATTTTAGATTCCTATTACAAAAAAAATCTTTATTTTTGGTATGAATACATTAAAGAGTTGGTTCATTTGAAT